AGTGGCCACTCTTTTTTATCTTTTAAACTAAAAGAGATAGACCATAACAAATATACAGGGTGTGTTTACTCACTTTTGTAATTTTCACATCGTTTCAAAAACCGCAATAGGCCCCAAAGATACACAATCAACTCCCTGAACACGGCCAATGTCTATGCACGGGTCAAAAATCAGAAGTTTGGAGTTTAGTTTGAAGCATTTAATTTGATATATATTTGTTACAGTCTATCTCTTTTAGTTTAAAAGATAAAAGGGGATGGCCACTTTTGGTTAGACACCCTGTATAATATATATATACATATGCACATGTATATGAATTATACAGCTTTAACAACTATCATAAATCCATTTTCGGAAAAATGTAGAACACAGATTTGCGTTTCACCTAACAAAAGTAAAAAAATGGGTTTTTGACATATGTTGATATAGGGTGCTTTCCAGCTACGGAACACAGTGATACACTGTGTGATACAGTGTTATACAGTGTCGACTTGTAGCTGGAACGCTGTTTCCGATCTATATGCTCAATATGTGTGTATATCAATGATTTGAGCAGCCATAAAGAAGATCAACAATTTGTAATAATAATTTAAATTCGCAGAAGATATTTTCGCTGTAAAAGTTAGTATTTTTCAATAAAAATTTTTTATGAATTATTAATTTATTTATCAAATATGTAGAGAAGAGATTAAAAACTGATCAAATTATGTAAATTAAGTATAATATAGTTACAATTTTATCTTATTAACAGAATTTATAAGTTTTATTAATCAATTGAGTGACGACACAGTCGAACGCATCATTTTAGCTGTGTACGATTGTGTCGACTTGTGTTGTAGTTGGAAAGCACTGAGTCGTACACTGTGTTACACAGTGTCGCCTGTGTACATTGCTGGAAAGCACCCATATTTTACGATAATCTATACTATGTATGTTTTTGAAATTTAAATACAGTTATGCATATATTAATTTATTTCATACCTGTATGTATATATATGTACACACACACACACACACACATAATATATAATATACTTATATATACAAACATACTCTATTTTACACTTATAAGTTTTTCCTAAGTTCATCAAAGTCCATCACAAACCATTCTGCATGTGATTTTACACTTTCCCGAATGACATTACCACCAAATCCTGTATAAACACATAAGTATTAAAAATTTACTTATTTGTCTAATTAGCATCATCATTTCAGTATAGAATATTATAAAACATTTCCATGAAAATTCTCAAATAAAACAGTGTTCCTCAAAGAGTCTTAAATATGAACATTCTATATACCTATAAATGCATCTGCTGGAGGACATGCTTCTAAATCTGTTGAACCATCACCAATGTGTACAATAGTTTTATATCCTTTCGTTTCTTTAAGATCCCGTATTACTTCTGCTTTGCCACCACTTCTAGATGTTGGCTGATTCTCATCAAATCCAGCATATTCTCCTAGGATATACAATTGTGTATTTATATATATTGTAATCTCTTTATATATAAAAAAAGCTATAAAATTTATTAATATTTATATTCTCTCACCGGTAAAATAAAATTTCAATCTGTTAGCATAAATATTCTTCTCTGGTATTTTTAATTGTATAGCAACTGGCAAAATAAGACAGTGGAAACCGCCAGAAATAAGAAATACGCCTTTCCCACGAGCTTGTAAATCTGATACCAGTTCTCTAAAATATCAATTATTAATGTAATATATTGAATTGATGTTTGTTTTCCCATATACACACATATCACATTTAAAAAATAAATGTCTTACTTGATACCACTGCTTAAATTTGATTGATGTGTATCCAAGAACTCTTTCACTTGAGTTAAACTTGGATTTATGATCTGCAATCGCATTAACAAGGATTGCTGGAAGGTCATATCACCTTGCATGGCCTGCTTTGTCCTGAAAAATACATGTTTCAATATTTCGCAGTAGGCGAAAGACTTGGAATCCACATTATAGCACCATAAACAAGATTGAATCACGAATTTTAATCAAGCTCAAGAAATGCATACAATTTACGAATTTCTTCTCCTTTTCCACAAAAATTTGCAAGTTCATCAATGCCTTCTTCTTTAATGACAGTCGAATCCACATCCAATGTCACAGCATCAGCGGCTTTCCAAATGTTTATTATTTTCTTCTGATTCGCCATCTGTAGAAAATGTATGCAAAACTATTAATAGAAAAAAAGATTATAAGAATATAGATGGAAGCAAAAAAAAAAAAAAAGAATAGGGTTAGATATGGAAGCTATAAGTTTTGTATTCTTCTTTTATAGTTTATTTAAGAAAAAATGATTGTAATTTAGAAAACACTAAAAAATAAAGATGTAAAGATATCAAATCACAAGTTTCATAATAGAGAACATAAAATGTTCGCTATTGTTTTTCGCTTTGTAGTCAAATTGTGTGAATATAATTTGTACATATATACAATGCAAGTTTACATTCAGTTACATATACACTTACATTCACAACAGCTTATCACGTGCACGTGTCATATTACGATAGTCTCGTGCAGATTACTGATTGATCACGCGTACGCGTCAATTATGACTCGTGCAAATCCAGATAAATTAAGGTCGGTCACGCCAAAATAACAATAACCTATTATCACTTTTACGTCATTCGGAAAGCAAAAGATCATACCGATGTAAACAACTCCTCTTCTATCCTTCTTCATTATTATCATTTTAGATAGAATGAAATGTAAAGCTTCTATTTCTGTTAGTTTCTTTACTGTAATCATATTAAATTGTGTCAAAAACGAGGAATTATGTGATCTTTTAACAAAATTTATGGCTATTTATTAATCAATAAACCAAAAATTTTCGGTATATTTTATCAATCTATATATTATTATACACATAAAAATGTGTGCAGAAATTAATTTATTTCAACGCAAGGAAAACAAAAAATTCACGTAGTTTCTGACGCAATATGACTGCAATAAGGAATGGTAGGAAATAGAAGTCGAACATGAACTGGCAAAAAGAAAGATAAGTCTACATAATTATAGATATAGACTACTCGTAAGTGAACCACGCATTAAAATGCAACAAAGAAGATAACGATAATTAAGGAGGAACTGGACGGATCAACTATGTCAAAAGTTAATAAATCTAATACATTTCGAGATTCATGAATTTGACATTGCTCACAAAGCACTCTTTTAACCTTTTAAAATATAAAGTTAATAATTAAATTATGATTTAAAGTAAAGATTTGCCCCCCCCCCCCGTAGAACTAAAATT